ATGCACCAGTGAACCTACAACTACACGATTTATATTTTAAAAATAATTAAATTCACTTAGCATTCAAAACTTGCGAATTTTGAAAAAAAAAAAAAAAAACAAATTTGCTGATTAAATACGGACAAATGTTTAACTGAAGTAAAACAGATTTTCCCCCTTGCTATGGATGTCTGCCTGGTTCAGTTCAGCCACATTCCGCTACAGTTCGCCTTTATTGTCAGTTCGAAATGGGGTGGTTCCATAATACCCGCAGTGTTCCATAATACCACTTTCTCCTCTACACATTATACTTGTTATTACGTAACATGACCTGAAAACAGATTTGTAAGCTTATCATCTAGGTATGAATAATTTCGGGTTTTAGAGATTGATGCCTAATTTGGCAGTAATTTGATGATAAGATATTAAATTTTAAAGTCATTGTTGTAAACCTTAATTATTTTTGACAATTAATGTTAGAGTCTATAGGTAAACAAACCACGGAATAATTTAACTTTTAAGGTAAACAAACCACGAAATAATTTAAGACAGCAGTGAAAGCCTCCCATCCTAATAAAAAATGAGCCAAATTGGGCTGTAATTTGAAAAATTTGTAAACCTATAAATAAATTCCCACTGTCGTCTGTCCGTCCTCTGTCCTTCGTCAATCTCGAAAACTGTCAAGCTGATAACGGTAAAGCTAATTTGTTTTTAATATGACCAGAAGACTACAGTGTACTTACAAGGTGTTAACTATAGTAGTAAGGTATAGAAACTTCACATAAATGCCTCATCAAATTAAAATTATGCGTTTGGGAAAGCAGTTTCATAAAAGGATAAAGAACTTGAAGCGCCCACGAGTTACACACAAGAATATTCCATTGTCAAAAATAATCGTGACTCATTTGTAAAATAACATAAAATTATTGTTTTGTATTGTACTACATTCTTTTATAATGTTATTGTATCAATAAGTTATAGCATGTATGTACTCTAGATCTCTAAGCAATAATAGAAACTGAATTTTAAGTAAGAAATAAGTAAAACGACAAAACCGTATTTGGGCCAAGACTATGTCTCGGAGACTCACTACTAAGCGGAATCACTTTGACGCTCAAGGCGGGTCTTCTTTGGTATCGCTGCTTTTGGGCGCGATCGTTCAAACTTCGCCGGCCACGATGCATTTTCGATGAAATTAACCTATTCAATTTCGAAATTTTTCTCCGTTGCGTGTCGGCCCGAGTTGAATTTTTGTCGATGCGTAAAGAAAATTTCCCATTTTTTTAAAAAAAATAATCGTATTGTATCGTCCGAACTTATTTTTTTTTTATTTTGCACAAACAATATATCCCGATTATAATGTCATTGGATGTAACGACAACCCTAATATAACTTCAAATTGTTATCAGTTCCACGATTTTACTATACTAGATAATGTTAAAAAACCTACTTGTAACGACACCCCGTTTTAAAGTCATATTTGAAGTACTCCAAATTTACAAAATTAGATTACAAATTTTATTTAACATAGAAGAAAGTACGTGTTCGGTCCTAAAGTCAGAGTTCACTTCTTAGAATGACTGCGGGTGGTACTCTCCCCCACCTAACTTCGGTGAGGTGAAATGCCTGTTTTGCCTGTTTGTAGAAGAGTTTCGCCCTTTCGTAATTTATTTTGACTCGGTTCTCGATTCCTTGACTATCTACGAGTCTGGATATTTTTATGCGCAAATGATTTGGCACCTAATACTCTGTGCCAAACATCAACTCTCGACAGTACACCTTCATACCTCTAAGCTGGTAATATAAACCGGCAGTACGATTTTATAAACAAGACGTAGTCTTGTCAAAACATCATCCACTCTGTCACGATAGTAGAAACAAATTCATATTTTAAATTTATTTTTGTAAGAAAATAATTACACAACTTAAATTTGATTTACTACAGAAAAAAACTTCAAATTTTATGATACGAAAAGGATATTATTCATAATAAAATGCTTTCGGACAATACAGAAATTACATAATTGATTAATACTGCACAGTAAAAAAAAAATACTTGCAGATGGACTACGTGTATTTCAATTATTTTTTCAATTAATAAACTCTACTTTAAAAAACATAATATCTGAGGACGTCGGGACTGTTGCTAGCTATGAAATCATGATAAACACTAGTTGACATATAAATATCTGGTATTGAAATATAAATATTCCGTTCACTATTATCATTACCACTCCTACTTAGTACTCCAATAACAACGTCGTTTCCTAAACGGGTTTTCATAATCAACGGTGATCCACAATTACCCTATAAATAAATTTATTAATTATAAAAATTATAGCAACTCCGTGGAAAAAAGTAACCGTTTTACCTTCATTGGAACCATTCCAGGTGTTACTGCTATTATTTCTTGACCAGTTATTTTCATATTATAGAAACTTATCCGTTCTTCGTATGGATTCATTAATCGTACTTCTGCCCAGTGGAGATATGCAGTTTCGTTTTTTTCGCCTGAATTATATTTTAAAAAAAGTTAATTTTTTATTACCATTATTCTGCTGAATCGTTAATCTAAAGTTCTAAGCCATAATACAAGTTTTTAAAAGAAAAGTAAACAATGCGAAAATAATTGTATCTTCTATTATTGTATTAGTGCTTGTGCATTAATACAGACATTTTTAAACCTTTTATTAAATAATTGTATTTAAATATATGCAAAAACTGTTTTTTCTTTTCAATAACTTTCAAAAGATTCTACTATTTATAAATAATAATTAAAAAAAAACTTACTTGTCCCAATTCTTCTCCATCCAACAAGCATGGCACCACCAGATGTGAATCGTTGGTTTTCTCCAGCTATAGCTATGGGATGAACATTTAATGAAGGTTCGATAGGTTTATTAAGAAGCAGAATAGCGATGTCATGAAGAGATTTTGTTCGATCATAGGATGGGTGTAAAATTTTTCTATCAAAAAATATTTTACTTCCTTTGTATTTGTTAACGTTACCGACTCTTCCGTATAAATCTTCAATTTCTTCTCTAACGAAAAAGATTATATTACGTTAGAAATAATCGTTAAAATAAATAAATATCACGAATTTAAGGCGGAGTGTAAACTCTTTAGTTACGCACGTGATATCTAGCAGATGGCTTTATAAATGTAATGGTTTTTCTATGGGTAAATCCTTTTCTAAGAATTCTCGAAAACAAAGCTAGACAGAAGCAATAAGATTTATGCATTAGAAACCTCTTTTATAAATAAAAAGGTTAACTCGGTGTCTATTTCTGTAGCTGCAGGAATTATACATCAGCTTGGACACAAAAATATTACAGTCTCCAGTTTAGTGTAGGCTTTATATATCTTTATATACTAGGCTACAAATAGAGAAAAGCATTGAGACAGACCATAGATTTAAGTAAAATCCAGGGCTTATTTCGCAAAAGAAGCATTGAAGAAACAGTGTTAACTAAAGTGAATATATCATACATTTATAATCCACACGTAGAATCGTTATTACTTAGTTCTGGTTTCTGGCTGATAAAAAGTGTTTGAATATCCGACATTTGCAAATTTGCGGTATTATCACATCACATTTAACAGACAACATCTATTTATCATTATTGGAAAAAAAAAATTATGGATTATGTATGTTGTTAGACGTTGCTGACATGTAATAATTAACGGTGCTAGATTGTTCAATAATAATGTCTTTTCCTAAGACGGTCACAATTTCATCGAATGTCGAATCCTTACATTTTAACACTGTTTTCAATCGAGTAATTGGGTCTTTTTATGCTTATATTGAATGCAATGACAGACGATAAATGATGCAAAAATAAGAAACTGTCTGACCTCAGAAATTATGGGCAAAGCCGCAGAATCTATGAAAGTATAGATGGAATGGGAAAAGCGTCTGAAAAACTCTTTTAATGAAGTCTTCGACTAATACCAATGCTATCTGCATGTTATATGAAGAAAAGCGATCATCAGATTGTCGCAATAAACTGTGGCTGACATTTGTTCATTTCACTGACAAGGGAACTGTTGGAGTGTCTTCTAATAAACTTTAATAAAATTTAGTTAGTAACTACGTTAAAAGTATACAAACTCTATTTTAAATTTGTAGCATTCACTAAAAGTGTTGATCAGAGTTATTAGCAATCAAATGTTGCATTACTTTATAGTAGTTAAACACTATTATGCAAATTTTTAGAAGTGAAAGTGTCGCGGAGGAAGACGGCCATATTACATTTAAAATAAATTCTGGAATTTTCAAAAATGGTTGAAGAATTAATAAATTTTGTATACTTTTAACATAATTATTAACTAAATTTTATTAAAATTTATTAGAGGACACTCCGACAGTTTCCTTGTGAGAGGAGGGTTCTTTTAGAACTTTTGGGAGAGGCAGATCAATGCATTACAAATTTTGCAAATAAACATTTTCTTTCTTCAACGCATATACTTAAAAAATAATTTTATCCTACAATTTGACATATTTTCTCACCTTTTTGATGAATTTCCACTTAAAAAATGTTGGAATATCTAACTTTGCAGCACTTTTTCTTTGTTGTTAAAAACTAGCTTTAAATATAATTATTATTATTATGTTGAGTTTAGTGAGTTATACTCGGTTGACACCGGTGGCTGTGTACTATGCCTGAAAAGAGTCATGGCATAGCAACCAAAACAAAACTAAAATTAAATAAGTGTGTCATTGTGTCTATATTCGAATTTCCTAACAATATGACATGTATTCAATATAGGGGCCATTTGTAGTGTGATGTATGTATTTCTATTCAATTGTAATGCGTCCAGGCATTTTGCTTAGTGTATGTGGTATGACACCGGTAGAAGAGAGAACGACAGGTACGATAAGCACCATATCCATCCTCCATACATGCCTTATTTCCTGGGCGACTTCTGTGTACTTGCTAATTTCTTCAGTGCATGTGTTTCGTATATTATGAGTGTTTGGAATGGATATGTGTATAATGTATGTGATTTTATTGTGTTTCTCGATGAGTGTGATTTCTGGTAAGATGTGATAAATTGTTTTATCTTTCATTACGGCTCTGTCGTAGTACATTTTGTGCGTGTTGTTTTCCAGTAATGTCTGTGGAATGTATTTGTAGTATGGTTCGTGCATGTCTAATAACTTCTGTTTGTTTGCAAGCTCTTGGTGTATTATATTCGCTACTTGATTATGTCTGTGTAAATAATCTGTCTGTTCCAAGAGCTTGCACCCAGAAGTAATGTGTTGTATAGTTTCTGGCACGATGCGACATTTTCTGCATGTGTCATTTGTGAGTGTTGTATCTTTGAGTATGTGTTTTCTGTAGTTTTTAGTATTTATGACCTGATCCTGCATCGCAATCATGAATTCTTCCGTCTCCCCAAAGAGGCATTCCCGATCTAACCAGCTGTTTGACGCAGTTTTGTCAACAAAATCCTGGGCCAGGTCGTAAGGATGTCTGCCATAGAATGCCTTTCGAGCCCACGATTGCTTGATGGTGTCTATGCTTTTTATATGTTGTCACGTCTGTATGATGTGAGTGTAAGTTTAATGGTGTGTTATTTGAGTCTGCTAGAGTTACTGCTTTATGTAATTGCGATGTTTCTTGTTTCCTGTAGAAAAACTCTCTCAGTGACTGTATTTGTTTGTAGTGAAGGTTAACTATGTCGATCAGGCTACGTCCACTATCTTTACGTGAAGGGTTAATTTTTCTGTGGTGGATTTAGAGTGATGTTGCTATGCTTATTAAGCGTTGTTCTTGTTTTCCTTTGGAGTTGCTCAAGTTCTGTGTGAGTCCAATATATAACCTTAAAAGAGTATGTGAGTACTGGGATGACATATGTATTTATTACTTTAACTGTGTATTTTGCATATCTAGGCCAAACTCCATTTGTATGCCCTTGGTGTATAAATGTGTAAATTGTAGAAGTTTATGAAGTTGTTTTTATTTCGATACATAAAATTTTTTGTCGTCCATGTACATGAGATACGACATTGTAAACTGTATTGTTTTTTCATGTCTAAGGTATAAACTTTAGCTTTTAGTAATTGCTGAAAAACAGAAAAATGTCACTTGTTTTTAAAACTTGCCCCTAATTTGTAATAGATAAATTCATATTAACAATACTTTGTTGTTATTGTCGATTTATTTAACGGTTAGAATGTGTTGACAGTTTATGCTGTTCGTTTTAATTAATGTTAAGGAATAAAGCGTTTAGAATTTAAAGATTTAATTAAAAAAAATGAATGAATTTAAATAGTCTTCGTTTAATATTAATTATTAACCAATATGATAACGAGCATGTTATTTATCAAATCAGATTTTTGTCTAAAGAGTACAATAAAAATTAAAGTGAACGTACCCGTCTATAACATGTGCTGCTCCAAGTACTGTTTGTGTTGTTATTAATGTAAAACCTCCACAAAAGTTTTCATTTTTGAACACTGCTACCTAAATTAAATAATTCTTTATCTGTAAGATAAATCATTATATCTAATCTTTCATAAAAGTTTAAATGAGTAAACATACCATATAAGGAAATTCTCCATCATCAGCAATTGCACTTTCAATTTTCCTACGTACTCTTCCTTAAAGTGTATTAAATTATTTCGTAGTTAAAAACATGAATTTATTTTTATTATCAGAAAAATGCAATGATTTCTCTTCTACCTGAATTGGTTTCATTTTTCTCAAAAACAGAGACAGCGTATATGACATTTAGGAGAAAGAATAATAATCCAAATCTGAAATTTATAAGTGTTCGAATTATTGATTCAGTCAAGTAAATAAATACAGTGTACAGTGAATGAAACTCCACATCACTTTGTATTTCTGAATTTCTGTCTTGTGTGCATAAACACAGCATTTTATATCTACCACAGCACTGGCAAGTCCCTAAATATGGTTCAATATTACCGGAATCTACAACTTCCAAAAAATTCCTAGTATTTTTCGACAACCTGGTTCGATCTCTAACGTTATCCTAATCCGGATTTTACAGAAGCTTCTGCGTTTCCAGGATTTTTCGATTGCAATGTCAAAAATATGAAATTCACGACCATAAAAGCCATTAATTCCTCATCATCACTTTACAGTTGAATCATTTTGATATTAACCCAAATGCTTTAAGGTAAGTGTAAATTCTTCATAATATTACTTTGATTATATATGTCATAATTTTATACCCGAAAATTATTGCATAATTTATTATAAAAAGTTTTGACGTTAATCATACCTTGAAATATTTTTCATTCCGTGGATGTCAAGAGAAAACAACTAGCGATTAAATGTTATCTGAAATGATAAAATAAAATATAATTAATACAGTTTTGCGAATGAGAAAGCAAACTTATAAAATCATTTCATACTAATTCTATAATAGCAATAAATTAGAGTATATAATGACTTCATTATTTCGATAATAAAAAGTATAGAATGAAATGATACTTTGTAATACAATTTTCTATTATGCAGTAATCCCTTTTACAAAATATGTTGAGGAAAAATAAATTTTAATTACGCCCAATTATGTGATATTTTCACTTACATTTTAATGCTACATAGCCATAGATCTTAAGTGTTCAATATCGGCATACTGATGACTTCGGTCATAAATTCAGCCAACCAAGATCCCCACATATTTTATATAGGATTGCAATCAGGAGAACAAATTTGCCAATCTGTTTATTTTCAAACCACCTATTCGTATCTCGTGATACACGGATAAATGTGTTGTCCGTTGTCCTGTTGAAAAAAACAGTAATATATGGGATATTCCAACTGTCACTAGATTGCATTCGGGCTATAATATTGCTAATGAATAAACATATTAATTTGGAATAAAGTGGCAGGTTATCGCGCCAATTTGTGTTAAATTCAACAATTCGTATTATTTACTTTAAATTTATGAAAAATATAGCATTTGAATCACTCAGCTTTCAAATACGATGTATATGCGTTAGTAATTGCATTTCCAACTACATCCGATCATGATCTGTACAATGTAAATTAACACCATATACGTAATATAGATTAATATCCACGATGGCTAAATATTGTCATGTGAACCATAAGTTCTATGACTATGATATCATTGGAACCGAACGATTACTTTTAGTTGGTCTTTTAAAAGAACACTACGAGGGCGACTGTGACATTATGAGATGGGTAATTAGGTAATTAACTTAATTAGTTAAAACTAAGAAAAGTGAAAAAAACCCCACTTCCTCTTTCCGCCAGCTCTTGATACTCTTATAGATGAAACCGATCAAATATCCCTCTAAGTCAACGGTTATTACGATGTTTGGACTTATATTACAAATTCAGTCAAAACAGTCAAGTATTAATGATGATAAACTGACAATTAAATAAAATTATGAAGTAAAGACAGTCGTAACACCGAGGGAAGTATCAATAGCCCGACCAAGTTCTCCTATCCGCGACGTCTCGTGTGAGCCGAACCAAGAGACAGCTCGAACTCCGAGCTAATAAATCAAGAATCACATGATAATTCTTCCACGCCAAAAACGTATAAGTGTCTTCTCCAATCGTCGGGGCGTATATCAACAGTCTACCCGTTTCGTCATTTCTGACAGCAAACAATCCTAACAAGCTAGAGATTAACATAGAACGGACTCAGGTAAACTACTCTAATTCACGTCCCCGTGGTCAACAAAGGGTTAAACAAGCAATTGTCACTGCTCGAAACTTTCTTGAGGCATCAATCATAAAAATCCTTGTTGATAGCATGCCAAATTGCATTTTCAATGTTACCAGAAAAGAAGGTGCGCAAAACAAATTACTAAATTAAACTACAGTAGAACCTCGATTATCTGGACCTCTATTATCCAGATTTTCGATTATCCGGATTGTTCAAAATAAACAAAAATTTTACGAATTTGCTGATTTGCACTTGGCGAATTACGATACTGTTTATGTACGTGATGGAATGCATAACTTTTTTTGTTTCAACAACGTCTCACCCGGCACAGTGGTCGTAAACTCTTAAATATATTTTGCGTCGTAATAAAAATATAACTTGACATACGTATGTAATTTGAATATAAATAATTTATATTCAAATTACATCATTTCTATGACCAAGGGCAGAGTAAGGCATGGGCAACGTGGGCCACCGCCTATGCCTCACGGTTCGAAGGGCCTCGCGCCTCGAAGGTTTATGTATTACTTAAAAGCCGCGAACGCGACGAAAAAATTTTACTCGTCATAAAACGATAAATAGTTTGTCAAATTTCTATTCATAAAAATGCAGTTTCAACTGCTTTTTATATTATAAAATTCGTCTTCTTGCATCACCAGAGGTCCTTTTAAACAATAGGTAGTCTGTTAGCGCTGGTCAGTAGTAGTCCAAATTCAATTCGAACGTTTGTTTCTTGAAAATTTGATAACGATTTAAATACAGTATTTATTTTTAATATTACTGATATGTCATCGAAAAGAAAACGTGTATTATCATTAAAAGACAAATTAAAGTATTTGTTTCGATTATCCGAATCTTTTCCTTATCCGGACTACCTTCATCCCCAATCAGTCCGGATAATCGAGGTTCTACTGTATTTTGTAATATATAATTTTTTTACATTCATTTACTAATCGATTCTATACTTTTGTGGTGCTTAAAATCAGTTTGTTACAATTTCTGCTGTTTGCTGCGATATTAGGAAACTATGAGTTTTGACACATTATGTTTTCCTAAATCCTGAACAATATAAGTAAGGTAGCTACATCATACGTGTAATTCCTAACCTTCTTATTATAAATTTCCAGCGGTATTATACTTTTCTGCAGCACTGTATTACTGCCTTAATACATCCTGACATTGGTACAGAAAATAGACTTTGGTTTTTCATTTCCGGCACGTGTCCCTCCTAAACAATTGGCTAGTAAAGGTGAATAAGCAAACAAATAACATATCCTAAACTATCAAATTGATTTGCTTATCCAGCTGTATTAATTAAAACTCAAGTCGCCTACAGAATTGATAGTTAGGATAAACCTTTAAAAAATGTGACTATAAGCTATAGTTGTCTCCACATCTTTACATAAGTGAAACAGAATGTGTTTTTAGGGCAATTACCTAACTTCTCATACTGCAACGACTGTCGTTCTAGATCATTAAAACGTGGCTTAGTTTAAAATTTCAATTTCTTGAGATTGCATTATGCATAATTATTTGTTTGCAAGTTCTATTTTTCTCTATTATCTTGTACCTTAAATACTAAACTTGTAATTCTATCACGACTGGTGTAATAAGTCTAATATTAAGCAGTGGATAATACACGACAACAGAACTTGTAAAAATGTGTATATCACTTTACACTAGACATTGAGAAAGTGAATCTGTTACAATACTGAATTACTAATAGTGTAAAAGGAATTTAATTTGAAAATTCCAAGATTCTTCTCAAATAATTATGTGCCTTTACCAGATAAAATTCATTGGTTTTATATAGTGAAGAAATGACGTTTAAAAGTTTCAGAATATTTAATTAGCTGTTTTTATTTTCTTTAGTGCGATATTTAACTTAATATTCTAAAATTTTCTGTATATTAATCAAAAAAGGAATTAGTTTGTGGTTGCGAACGGGTAGAACGTAAAACTTATCCTACAAGAGTTGTGTGACGAAGAGTTTTAAGTTTATTTTAAAGTCCATTTAATTACATTAATTTAAATACTTATATGTCTTTAACATTCAAAAATGCATAATATTGACTTTTTCCTTAAATTTTAGCATATATTAATCAAAAATATACATGCTGTATTTGGGAAAGTTAAACTTTTTTACTCACCTTTCTGTTGCCTAAATTACTTCGAAACTTTTAATCGATAAACATTTGAATGAAAGTAAATGCAGTATTTACTAAGCCCGTAAACAAGTTAATATTTAATTTGTATTTATATGGATTATAATGTTTAAAAATTTTCAGCAATAAATATTGAAAATGAAATTAAACGCCGTGTTTATTGTAAACATACAAAGTACTAACAAACATGTTTTTGCGTTTAAAATAAAATTCCTAGAATAATTTGTTATCTGAATTTTCAAAATTGTATATGCTATCTATAAATGCTAAAAAGAATTTTAAAAAAGTCATATTAACCCATCCATTCCAGAAACGTCATTTGATATTAAAAAATATATAATTTCTAACGAAGGGAATACATTAATTATTGTATTATTAGTGGTTTCACAAATAGCCGACTGAATGAAAGAAGCAAATATTGGAAAGTGACTTATAACACACCCAGTTTATTTAATGTAAATATATATATTCAGTTTTTTGTATGTTATCTACTTGATAAAAGAAGTAAGACCGAAATACATTTTTTTTAGTTAATTACATAGACTGGGTGTTTGATAAGCCTGTTCATTAGTCATAAGTAACTAAATAGAATTTTGTAATTAAGTAATACAGGCAAGAAGCTTATTAATTAATATGTGGAAAAATGAGTTTGCGCCTGTTCAAATAGCTTACCACAAATTTTTCTTTTTACCACCGTTTTTTCTTTTTTTTTCCGTGTAGCACCTCAATACGCGTTAGTTTCCAACAGAAGATTGCAGGAAACAAGTGTCGTGACTATTCTATTCTGACCTGTTCTTTCTATGTACAGAAAATATTAGCTCCGTGGTGTGGTGAGTGTTTTAATATTTCGTTAGGTTATGTTTAACAATTTGATGACTGAAAATTAAAAGAATACGATAGTTTTAAACTTTATTTTCTACACTACTCATCAAGTGTACAGTACATTACTTTTTGTGTTCGTACATATAAGAAGTGCTTCCAGTTATTCAATATTATAAATGTTTTATATTCATTCACGGATATGTAGTTATTCCCGTTTATGTAGGGATTCCCGTATGTAGTTATAGAAAAATCAGTAGTATCTCGACAAGCTGCAAATCGTTTCCTCAATTCAACGAATCTTCGTTGATTTTATGTAATCACGTTGACACGTTCTCAATACAGTGATGTGTTCTGAATATTACTTGCATTCAGCAAACGTGATGAAGTACATTTCGTACTTTCATTCTTCTTTCCCAGTTCGATTAGTGCAGAAAGAATAGAGTAAAGACTACTCATCATCTGAAAAGAAAATAGGGATGAAGTCAAAATCCACAATAATAAATTAAAATGCATTATTTAATCGAAACTTACCTTAATCGGGAAATCGCGTTTGACCCGATAAAATCCACCGAAAGAAATTCCAATGGGTGTTTTTCCGAATCTCTTCATAAAATTTAGCATCTGTTCGAAAAAGTATATAACTTTAGAATAAAATTTATCGATAACGTAAAAATAAAACGCTTAATTTACCTTCAATTTAAAAACCAGAGAGAATCTGCACGAGGAAAATTTATTAATCTCGTTGAAATTTCCGTAAATCTGAAATGAATGTTAAACATTATAAATTGTATATTAATTTGGTTGTACAAATATTTAATTAATAATTCTTACCGAGGATGTAAATTTGGATAAACCCAATGACATTATCATAAATCCGAAAATTGCGTTTATGATAAGAAAAAATGCAAGCAGTTTAAACTCTGCCGGTAAATCGTAAAACAAAGTAATGGTTACCAGGATACTGAACCCATATAAACTACTGCAGTAAACAATAGGAAAGTACATGTCGAGTTGGTTATTGGCGTTTCGAACGTTTTCCATTAATTCTGTATGTTCTTCGATTATGTATACGATTAGATCTTTGATCATGCTCCTTCCACGAGGAAGAACATCGAGCTTGTTCGACAATGCGTTAAATCCATTAAACAATAAGAGTAAATAATTATAAAGAAGGAATAATATGCAAGCATTTTGTCCTACTAAAAATAATAACAATAATGCCCAATCGATATTGCAAAGAAGAAATTCCATTACAGTTGCCTTTTCCATGGCAAAATATAGAGAAAAGTCAAGCATTAAGTAAAATGTGACTTGCAGTAAAGCAATGACTGCAAAGAAAACCGCAAATTGAAATTCTAAGGATGTAATTAATGTTTTCTCCACTTCATAGCAAAATTTACAACTAGGAAGATTTAAACGAATTCGTTTAATTAACGAGAACTGAAAAGTCAAGAATACGATCATACCAATAACAAAGAACTGCATGATGTATTTGAAAGCTACGAATAAGTTAAACACTTCTCCGCATACGAATTTATCGGAAAATGTCGTGGAGACTAATGCCAGTATGTTCAGGATAAGAAAAAATTCGAGTAAATTTGAATAAAATTCAAAAATTCGAAAATTCCATAAATTCTTATGGTAGTCAAATTTTAATATATTTAACCCGACAATTTGTAATGCAGCATTTAAGGAATAAAAAATTATTTTAATTTCATTACTTGAGTTTTCCATAATTTTAAATTATAAATATATTATTATTTTTCTTTGTTTACTCTTTTAGTCCTGCGGGCAATAATAGAATCAATATTTCCAAATTCAGAGTCAAACCTTTGAGCGGCAGTTTCTGACGAAGTCATTGTATCCTAAATATTGCTCGCGGGTTCGAGCCTGAGCTAAATCTCACCACGTGAAGATTACCGGGTTTTTTCACTTATCTAACACCTAAACAGGGAAACAGGTTCCCTCCATTGTCACCACCAGGGAGATATTTCTCTGTTGGCAGATTTCTACGAGTTGTTGCGTTGCCTATGTCAACATTCTACATCATTCAAATTCAATTTTAGTAACATGCGTATATTCCATTTAAGTACGTAAGTGCATTAAATTATTAATGGCATATTTTATGTAATGAATATCGAAAAGTAATTATCCTTAATTAATTATGTATGAGTATACATACTTGTTTAATATGTTAGCTATTTTATTATAATAATACAGTCCACTATGTCAAAATGACATTTGTTCTAAACTCTAAAATATATTCCAATAAAGAATTTTAATTATCTTAATTGCATCCTACTCTNTGTTAGCTATTTTATTATAATAATACAGTCCACTATGTCAAAATGACATTTGTTCTAAACTCTAAAATATATTCCAATAAAGAATTTTAATTATCTTAATTGCATCCTACTCTAAATGTGTCTTATATAACATAGCAAGTAGTGTTGTTTTAATGAATATATTATTTTGGGCATTCTGTTGTATAACTTTTTTGTTTTAAAAGCAAATTAAGAAAATTACTAATGAATAAATATTTCTGTTGTCTTCAAAAGTTCAATTTTTAATTTGATGGATTTAATTTAAAATTCTCCAAAAGAAAATACNATCCACATTTGATATCATCATTTATCACATACTTCCATGACACTCTTGTCTGTCCGCTACAACTGCTAAGAATGAACGCGATTGGCGAAGCGTAGTGACAGTGGGCCAATAGAGAGCAGGATACTTGCCATAATGCGGTTTGCGCGCCAATTTTCGTACTTGCGTTAATCAAGCCGAATAGTTTAGCCGAATATTCGGCTATTCGGCCACGTTCCTGGCCGAATATTCGGTATTCGGCCTGAGGCCGAATATGCTATTCGTTACAACACTAATATAAACTCTTGAAAGTTTTTAATTCCCTTTATAAATAGATACCTATATAAAATAAAGAAATATCATTAACTTTTCTGCAAAGCCACGTGTATAAAATCTGAAAGGTTCTTGGTATTCCAGCGTTTTTATACGGTCGTTGTGCATTTGGTGGGTTTTTGCCTGACAAAATGATTACATAGAGTTTATCGGATTATCTTTACGCCTCTAACATGTAAATATAACAAGAAGGATTTTCTATTTTCGAATGTCAAGAAAGACACGAAAAAAAGAAATTGATTTACTAAGTTTTGCCAACTTGGCTAAACTTAGATCATTAATTTACTCATTTATAACTAAATTCGAGTTTCTAAATTTGATTTTATTTGTATTTAATACAAGCTAGAAAAACTTTCCAAAACGAAAGCTCTTTCCAAGAGGCAGCTTTGTGAGAAATTGCCCATTTGTTGCATAGCTTTTACCATTTCAATCAATTGTAAATGGCACCCTACCGCTCTGGAAAACCCTGAATGGAATCTGGACGAGTCGAAAAATTCCCAAGAGTTGTTCTGGGGTGGTCCATCCGGATATGTCCAGTCCTTTCCCTTTGTACTCGGCCACCCCATTGCGGACCTAGCCGAACTGTTTTTTCTTTGAACTTTGGTTCAATGTCACGACTTGGTGAATTTATTTACACTTGGCAAATAATTTCATCAAGTTTTAATCCATATAGATACGCGTTTCGGGCTTTCTCCCCTCATCAGTCTGTAACATAGGTAGGATGTATCTTGTGGACATCTATCAGGCACCTTCCGCACTACGTCTTCCCTCTCCCCTTTCCTTCCCTGCCGACTTGACGGCCTCCCCCGCATACCTCGCAACGTGCAACGTCTCATTCCCAGAATGCCACAGCTACAACTGTATAAATATTCTATTTTAATAGTTGTAACCAGTTTTTGTGAATTTCTATGCTTAGATTCTTGTTAATATTATATTTGTCTGTAGTAATTTCTTTTGTCCCAATTTTTTTCTTTGTGTACTTTTATAACTTCATTCTCACAAAGTCTTGGAACTTATTAATGACGGTATTAAAATCGATGTTTGCAACATTAAATACATTTTAATGTAAGATTTGCCAAATATAAAAATTCTTAATTAATGTTTTAATAATGAATTGAATAATTTACATATTACAATAAGAAAAATGGTTACATTAATTATTACATTCACTGATTTAGTAACACAGTACCACAAACAATACACACATGCGGCGACATTGCGCAAAACTCGAAATGTTTTCATTGTTATGTGTGGCGGCCGAATAATTGTAACTTAGCGCTGCGTCTGAAAATCCAGGTGACGCTGGCGCGACGGTATAAAAGCATGTGCAGGCCGTCCGCCATCATTTTCCCCCCTCTCTGGGCTACGTTAAGCTTGACGAGTGTATATTCTGTACCGACGCTTGTAACCGATCGAGCTCTACTCAATAAGTGTAAAACAAAATCTTGTACGTAATTGTAAATAAATTTTCATGGTGAGATATAAGGCTTCGGTTATTTTATATAATCAACGAACACTCAAGTTAAGTGGTGCATCAATCACCACATTGGTGACCCGGAAGTGATCCCTTCTTTCGAAGCTGATCCAACTACGTCGGCCTGCTCCTCATCGATGTCCGGAAGACTAATAGTGCCAGAGACATTCACCAGCATTCAGAGCAATCGAGTAACAATTATTTTTTTATTTTTACGCTTTTTCACACGTGCTGGATAACACGTGTCGAACGACGGTAGCGGAATCATGGCGATCTACTTGCCAGAAATCGCCCGGATGGCTGTAAGAACCTCGCCGTTCTAGAAGGTTAAAGTGGCTTCCTTATCCAACTGTACTAATTAAAATTTCTAAGTGACCTAAAGCATATTGATAATTTTGATAAATCCGAAAGAATGACTTACAGACTATAACCGTTTCCACAAATTTAGTGCTCATTCCTTAACTTAGTGGAAATTAAAAATAAATTCAGGTTGTAAATTATCTTGCCTTAAATACTAGACTTATTATACCGGTCATAAAGGAATTAAAACGAGTGTAATATTTAAGACAGAAGTTAATGCCGGAATATAAGTTGTAGAAATATGTATATTACTTTACATTAAAAACTGAGATAATCAATCTTTTAAAATGCTGATTTAATACTAGTGTAACGGGGTATTTAATTTTAGAATTCCTAGATTCTTGCCAAATAATTACATGATTTATCTAATAAATTTCATTAGTTTTCATCAGAAAAGAAAATACGGCTAAAAGTCTTAAATATTAGAGAGGTTGCGGTACACGTATCAGCGCAAAACGTGTACGGCGGACTGTCCATGCGCCGCCATCTGGCAATTCTAGGCGGTCGATAACGGCGTTCGCTTCGTCTAGAATGGTGAGTAGAAAATCGGTTAAACTTCTTCATTTTTTTGTGTTTGGGGTTAAAATTATGACCTATTTTATTAAGATAACGATTATTTAAGCATTTACGAATAACATTGTGAAGAAACAAACGATTTTAATCCAGAAATTTTATAATTATTCAATTTTTTAGCAAGTGATGTAAAGTATCGATAACATTTTTATGGCTGTGTTCATAAAATAGCTTATCATATTTCAAGCCAGTTTGCGAAGATCTGGAAACAGAAGAAGAGTTTACAGAACGTAATCAATTTCTACAAGAAATAAGAGTTAAAATATGATGCCCAGATAACATATGAGAAATCACAATCACAAGCCATTGCTGGACAGTGAGTCAGGGATGCAGTGATGACATCTTTAAGAGCATCATCTCCTGAGTTTCCATCTGGTAAATATAAAAACTTAAAATTTCTTTATAATACAATTAATACAAGAATTATATAATAATTATACGTTTTAAATTATTTTTGATGAAGATACCAATGTCACAAAAAAAAAGAAAGAAAACTTTGTTGTCTCATACTTACAAAGCAAGCAAGACCAACAGAATCATTTGAAACAAGAATTAAATTTAAATAAAGAACGACTGAAACTGGAACAAAAAAAAAATTACAGTTGGAAAAAGAAACATTTGATTTAGAGAGAAGAGAGAGAGAAGCAAGACTGAAGCAGGGTGGCGAGGAAAGAAGATTGTTATTAGAATTACTTATGAAAAGTTTGAATATAAATTGAATAAAAAATGTTTATAAAAACTGAATAAAATTTTTTTAAATTGAAAAAAAATTATTTATTTATTTATTATTTATTGATTACATTCTAAGTATTTGTCCAATTTGAGGGGTAAACAATTAAAATAATCTGATGTTGCACTACCGTATAAGCAAGTGTGACAGTTTGTTAAGTAGTGCACCAACAATATACAGTTTACCGACAGGCTGAAGATACAATTTCAAATTTTTTTTTAAAATCTAGAAAAGCAAATATCTGAATTATTTTCCCAAATACCCATTCCCTTACTGAACTCATCCTGGAATTAAATACTTGTTGCTCGGGTGTTAAACTAGCACCTCGGAATGGTGTAATGAGGTGTTGACGCAATGGATAACAAGAATCTCCATATAAAACAAATTGGGTCCCTTTCTCAGAACAAGGAATCTCAGCCAACTGCTCTAACAAATTAGATTCTCTTAACATTCTACTGTCGTGACGTCTTCCTTCTAATGGTCCAAATAAATTAGCAATCGTACCATCGAGTGTAACCACTGATTGAAATTTCAAACAA